TTGCCCGCCAGAATGGAATGAGAGCTAGCTGGTGCCCACCCTCTGAAACAGTTTCAGATTAATATAGCGAGATCAACCACAAGAGCCGTCCATTTCCACAGCTGAAGGGAGAGCTTCTTCGTCTCGGCAGTTGGTTGTTCAGTCCATTGCAAGAGAAATGGCCCGTCACGGGGCTGCCAGATCGGGTTAGTGATGCCGAAGAGGGAATGGTGGCATGATGTATTGTCGTAATACCGTTACACCGTTATTGACACCTGAGGCATATAATGAGTTCCCATCTACAAAAGAAAGCGCATGACTGCACGGATTTCAAATGAGAAGATATTGTTGCTACTATGCACAATATGAAAAGAACGTGACAATCATCTCAAATGTCCTTCTTGGCTTGGCTCACCTGCATGTCAGTTTGGCAAGTTGCGAGTACCCACAACAAGAGCATTCAAAGCTGCGCCACGATCCCGGTAAGCAGCGCATGCCTATTATTAGATGCTATACTCTGTCTCTAATGGTTATCATCCCCATGGTCCATCTACACTAGTTACAGATGAACGCATCGTATAGTGATACTCAACCTCCTGCTTAGTAGTAGTTATCTATCTATTGTGGTTGCAATGCCATCATATGTACCTTATCATGAGCCCATCAATATGTGTTGGACACGTAACAAGGAAGCAAATGACTGCCAGCCAGCTTTTGCTTCTAAGAAATCTTTTCATTCATAGCTACATTCCTAGAAGGTATGGCTGCTACTACCGAAGCTACCAAGTTCGTTGGTTGGAGTTCTTGAACATAACTAATTTTACAAGGCTCCACAATGACCATTGCTTTTGATAAACGAAAATGACAGATTCACGCGGTTGGAGTACCTATACTCCGAGATCTCGAGGCTGTCCCTAATCCCTGGGCAAGATATTCGCACGTTTTGGGAGTGCGACCATATCAATGAATATGAATGAGAGTTGAGGGATGAAGACTGCGACTTTGTGATATATTGTTATAATATTCCAGGAGTAACTGGAGAGCCTCATTGGCCCTGGTGTTTAATAAGTGACCTAGAGCTATGGCTAGGGAGGGAGCTTGGAGCATAGTATGTTATCAGAAGCCGCCGCCGCCGCCGCCGTGAACTATCTTTTATGGATACTAGCCGATAGCTGCTTGGATGTGGGAAGATAATGTGCATTACTATGAGACATGCATACTTGCTAAAGAACTCAATAAGGAACGATTGCCACAACAATTTGATAATTACATCTGACGACGTTGGAATGCAAGCTGCAAAGGAGGCAGACTCGTAGTAAAAGTATCCTGTGCTCCCGTTTCGAAAGCCTCCCCCGTCTCGCCAGGCGCAAACGAGAAGTTGTACTGCTGGGCTATGGTTGATATGCTGGTCCGCAGACTAATCATGGCGAGGTTCTTCCCGGGACAGATATAAGGGCCTACTCCAAATGTCAATTTGGGTAAACCACAAGGGAAACCATCACGTACCTGTCAGGAATGGGATGAAAGGGGCACCATCGGTCTTCATCTCGTATCTCTTCTCACTCCACCGCTCTGGAATGAATTCCTTAGCGCTTTCGTAGTACCTTTCGTCAGTCTGAATTAGCTGAACGGGCACGAAAACAATGGTGTCTCCTGGTATATGGACTTCATCAACCTGAAGTCCTTCGGCTGGCGTGACACGATAGCCCCCGGTCATTACAGCAGGGCGCAGACGAAGTGTTTCATTAATAATGTCATCAATGAAAGCGATATCCTTGACTGTATCATAGCTCCAGTGATCTGCTCCGTCCGGCATAGCCTCGTCCAGTTTCTCCTGAAGCTTAGCCAGCACCGATGGATGCTTAGCCAGATAGTAAAGGACGGTCGCCAAGGTGGTGGCTGTGGTCTCACTTCCTGCGATAATAACTGCCCTCGAGTCCTCGTTGAGTGCCAAACGAGAAGGAGCAGCAGAAGCATTTTGCTCCACGTATGCTTTGAGGAGCCACGAAACAACATCTTCTGGATATGCATTGGCATCCCAAGTCTGTATAATAACATGATACGACACAATCATTAGAGACTTGCTATTAGGTTTTCACAATGAGGGGTTGCATACCTTCTGCTTTCTTTCGATTTCATCAGCACACCACTTGAAAAAGCTCGAGTAGCCGGAAACGGCTCCGGGGATACGGCAGAGTATATAGAGGAACCACGGGACCTGTAATAGAGTAGCACCGGCGGCCATATGATCATGGACTCCTTTGATCGCTGGATGTTCCACCCCGGTGGTCAGGTTGTGGAAATCTTTGCCAAAGCCGACGTCTCCCATTATATCAAAGCTAAGAAACATTGTCCAAGCCGTCACATCGATAGGCTTGCCCAGGTTCTTTGCTACATGGGAGGCTAGTAGATCTACCTTGCTTTTGACGCGGGGCTCATAGATCCCGAGAGCTGAGCGACATTATGAGATTAGTCACTGGGCTATGAGCGATGATGTGAGAGAGCGTTTCCAGGTTAACATACATTTTATGCTGAAGCCCCGGTCCCAGGCCTTTCTCCGCTTTCGGTGATCATCGTGATCCCGAGTGTGATGTATGGAGCAGTACTTGGGATTTGTTGACACATGAGCATACCATGTTGACTTACTGCATTTGGACTGTGGCCCAAAGAGCAAAGGTATGGCGGACTTCCGTACAATGCAGACCTCGCGTGGACCTATAATCGCGGAATACATTACCACTTGGACGAGGAGATGGATAAGTAACTAGCGGAGGATTACCAGTTCGAATAAAGTCGCCATATTCCTGATGAAGTCTTGCGATCTCCACATTGTATTGGAGATCTTTGCCTGCCAAGTAGGCATTATAGAAGCGAGATATCTTGGCACCTACTGGACCTGGGAAGTGATGCAGGCGATGGAAGAATAATCTATAGATGCCAATACTGGAGATAAGACCCGTGTTGAACGCGGATGAGATAAGTATCACTCTAAGAAGAGCTTGAGCGACCGAGAACTGCGTCAAAGTCAAGTATGCATATGCTGTTGATAGAACTGCGACCACATAGAGTGCAAGCAATATGAAGAGATAGTCTTCGACCGGAAAATTGGTGCGAAAGAGACTGACATGCGAAAGCAGCCCGAACCCCGCGGCAGAAGCTGCGAGGCTGAGCAGATCCGATTCCAACACAGCCCGAATGTCTGCTAACGAGACAACAGATGAAGAGAGTTGCATTGTGCTCATACACCGATTTAAGATGCTATAGAGATTGGAGTTGTTTCAGGTCAAAATGAAACAGGGTGGAGCAGCTGATATTTAATGTAGAGCGTAATAGTGGTAGAGCGAGCCATGGATGCGGACATGCTGGCATGTCTGTTTGCAGCCGATGCTCTGTCATCCGATCGACAAAACTAATGCCAGTGGTTAGGCGTCCAACGCTGTGCTGGCATAAATGAACGCTAATGTTCACTCCAGTCTGTATTACCGTGATAAACCTAGTAATCTAAATTCAGCAATAATATGACCCTACGGAGACATAAGCTGGATGCATGACGCGCAATACAATATAAATTGTTGACAGCCACAAAGCACTAGTAGACACCTAGTAGCTTATAGTACTAGTACTGAAGAGTCTGTCTCTCATTGAACCAGATATATATACTATTAGAAGCACTGAATTAATATTCAACGAAGTCTAATTATCACAATGTGGTTATAACATACCACTATGTAGATGCAATTCTTCGTGTCAAGTAGTACTAATAGCATCATGATATAGAGCCACATGACCACATCATTAGTCCCAGATATGTATGCATATGAAGGCATTCAAATGTATTCCACATCCTTCTTTCAATAATGTCATAGATCTATATGGTTGAGCTTCAATACCCGGGTGCAAACGTCTTCTATCCTATCCAGCCATCACGACATCAGGGTTTTTCAGAGAGACCAAGGATGTTTCTCTTACAACCCGGGCCAGAAGAAATACAATAGTATTTCTAGCGCTTCAAACACCTTTTCCAGTTGTATGATTTCAGGGAGTACTGGAAACCTAATCACTAATACCGCCTGTGTACTTCCTTGAATGGCTGGTTTTCTCATACAGACAAACTTCGAAGAGTAGTAGTCACTTAGATTTCCGAATAAACTGTCGTTCACTTTCTTTTCCCTAGATCATATTTGCATGTAACACCACTCACTCAGTTATACCCCACCTCTTTCGCTTTCAGGATAACGCCATTGTTCTAGTCTTTGTCGGAGTCCTTATACCAAAGGGTATAATCTGCCTTCCCTGTAAGGCTTCACCGCTTTTCACAGAACGTGTCCATTGAATCAAGCTTACTCCCACATTGTAGAGACATACACTGGGTAGTTGATTCACCTTGCTATGGTTGCTTGAAGATAGTCCAACTGTGTAGTTAGCTTTTGACCATAAATGAGGGTTTCATTGAATCTGGATACTGCGAAATCATGGAGATAGAGAGGCTTGAGAGTCGTCGGAAAGAACGTTGTTATATCTGTAGTAGGTCTTAGCGCGCGCACGACAAAAATAGCTTCTACCAGGGAGGCTATGTTGATGCATGTTTAGGAATCCATGCTCAAGAGATACTACTCATTTATTAAGCTTCTAAACTCCACATTCTAGACCACAGGCCATTCCCAAACATTAAACCTAATCTTTCTTAGTCCCTCAATTTTCCGACGCTATCTGGTTTAATTCCACGCAGCGTGTCTTGGCGCTGGGCCCGGATATTAAATTGTGGGTTGGAGTTTGTTTCATATTCATATGAATAAAAGCTTGGATCTCTAGAGTAGTCTGCACGGACCTTTCACAGTTCTGGAGTCCACTAAGTGGGCGTTGCGTGGATTGAAGCAGGATTGAAGGTCGCTAACTTCGCTCCGCATCCCAACGTCAATTGCGAGAAGATAACAAGCAGACGAGCAGATAAACATCCAAACATGATTAGTTATTGGTACAGCGCAGTCTATCTACTTAATATGTCCGTATATAAACCCTTTCTAGGCTTTCCTATACGTAGACAAACGAGACTTAACGCTCTCCCCTACCAGCCCACACCAAAGGGACATTCACAGCCCCGTAAACCGACTCCTCTCCCGCAACCGCGCCCCGAAAAAGTAAAGCAGGAACATACCCACAATACAAAAAACACTAAGACTCGCAAGCAGAGTCACTCCACCAGAGACCTTAATCCCCTGGAACATTGGGCGAGAGAAGAGAATAGAAGCACCAGCAAGTAGACTGCGCGCGAAGCCGTTGGCGGCGAACAGCGAGCCCGCGTATCGAGGATACGTGAAGGGGAGGTAGATGAACATGCACTGGGTGATGATAAAGACGCCGCACATGCTGATGGCGATGCCGACCAGGCTGACGATCCAATGGATGGAGGGGGAGGAGGTCCATGCTGGAGGATATTGATTAGTATAAATTACTACCTTCACAGACAAAAGAGAATCGAGGAGAAGTTGAAGGACAGGAAGAAGAACGTACCAAAGATATACAATCCTATTGGAATAAGCCATGTCGCGAACAATCCCGGCCAAATACGAGCTTCAGGAGGCACAGGATCAAGCTTCCCCAGCTGCTTTGGGGCAAAAAAGTAGAAATATGCGCATAGAAGACCGACCGCAACACAGAGGCCGCACAGCACAGCAAGGAATGCGAGACCCTGCTCGCCCAGAGTGAAGCCGTACATGTCTCTATACACGAGGGGGAAGGACTCGAAGAACGAATAATAGATTGCATATGTAAGCGCAGTGTAGAAGGTTGAGAAAAGAACAGCAGGGTCAAGAGCATTTATCTCCCATGGTTTGATGAGAGCGTTGAATGTAATTGCTCTTGGACTCATCTTTGACTGACGAATCTCGGACTCGGACTTGATGTCTATGTGACCTGTTTGAGTGCGTAGGCGTCGAGCGCGGCGGAGCAGGATGTTGTCTGATGATGTCTCGGGCATACTGAGGAACATGATAACCATTGTGGGGGCTGATAGCCAAAGGAGCTCCCACGAGCTCCAACGCCATCCCATTTTCTCGACGGCGAATCCGGCAACCAGTGGGCCGAGGGCCTCGATATATTGTTAGTATAGTAGGTGTGAGTATTTGTAGGAAATGAACGTACTGGGCCAAGAGTTGCACCTCCGCCCCATAGAGCTATCACATAGGGCATTTCCTTTGCGCCGTAGAAATCGCCATAGCTGGCGCCGGCTGTAGCAAGGCACGGCGAGCCGAAGAAGCCAAGAAGAAAGCGGAGAATAAGAATACCCGCAACATTATCGACCAAAGCCATTGGGATGCAAAGAATGACGAAGAAAAATTAGGTGACAGTGTACGGAAAAGTCCGACCGACGGCTGGAATCTCCGATAGCGGCGAGAAGAGCATGGGGCCTAGACCATAAGCAAGGACATACATGGTTAATCCCAGCTCGGCCACTTCGTCACCAACACCGTAGATCCGCATGACGTCCGGCTCACTGGCAGTATATAGCGAGGAGCCGATATAAACGGAGAAGGTGTAGACAAAAAGTAGCATGGCAACCCAGAGCTTCTTTCGGCAGGACCAGTTGTGTGGGTTTTCTGGATCATTCTCGCCATACCAGCCGATTACTAATGGATTAGATTCTTTATTGCCCTTTTCCGGATCCCCAATGAGCTCTCCATTGGAGGAGGAAGTGGATGAGGAGGAGGTGGAGGGCTCGAGGGATCCAGCTGGTAGTTGGAAACCAGGCTGATCCTCAGGGTATCCGGCCAGCATCCCACCACTGGCTAGCCGTAGGCATTGGCCAAAGGTAGAGTCACGAATGATGTCCCACATGGTTGAAGATTGAGGATTGCAAGACAATGATGATAGAAACGAAGAAACACAAGGGCCGATGAGAGGCGGACATCTTCAATCATTCTTATATGTTGGCAGCCAGGTGGTTGCATAGATAAATACTCCGTGTGCTTGACAGAAGATAGTATGGAGACCGCGCAAAGCTAGCTACAAGGGGTTAGCGTTGCGCGGTGATCGACGGGACGACATTACTAGCGTGTGGCCAATATCCAATCAACACCAGCCGGTGGAGAAGATCGGAGGAAAAAGTCACCTGGAGGAATTCAGTGACGGTAAGAGCATCAATAAATGTTAATTGCTAGGGTGTAGGGGAAAGAAGTGAATGCAGGTTGGTATGTATTTGCTAGTGCCGGGTATATTTCTTACATAAAATTCCACAGCTTCAGGTCTATGGAAAGGCAAGCTAAACGTCGTTGTATTACGTAGTCTGACTCTCAAGTTATAACTGTATCAACTTGCTCGCAGAGTCGCCCAATACCGTCAGTATTCATTGCTAAAAGGTAGTAGATACAAAGAAATACCAGCACCATGCCCTCGGCAGATCTCACCTCGTCGCCCGAGGATTTTCTTACCCAAACTTACGACTATCTCATCATCGATGGAGGAACAGCCGGCTTGGTTGTCGCATCACGGTTGTCTGCAAACCCTGATTTGGAAGTAGGCGTCATTGAGGCAGGAGATGCAGGGTTTGATGACCCAAATTTCACCAATCCTGGGAAGATTTCGGCCATGCTACATAATCCCAAGTATGACTGGATGTATCAAAGCACGCTTTCAGGTAGGTTTCTGACTCTTTACTCTTCGAGGCTGTCTAAAGGCTCCCTAGGCGCAGAACCAAAACCGATCCCATCACATTCCCCGAGGGAAAGTTCTTGGAGGATCAAGCGCCGTCAATTTCATGGCATATGGAAGACCTTCCGCGGTTGACCTCGATGACTGGGGCACGATAGCGGGATATAGCGATTGGTCATGGGCAGGGTTAGCTCCACATTATCGGAAAAGCGAACAGCTTGAGTCGGCTGGACTGAACGGCCCTGCATCGGATCTTTGTCCCGTGCAGGAAGAGGCTCATGGTACGCAAGGCCCGATTCACACTTCGCTAGGTCCCTGGCAAGCCCCTATCGAGACCCCCCTGCTAGCCGCAATGAATGAGACGTCGGGGCTGTCTCGGCCCCAGGAGCCGTGAAGTGGGGAGCACTTGGGATTTCATCGCTGCCTCTTTACTATCGATCGAAGCACCGGTCTCCCACGTCGTAGTTACTCGGCCGGGTATCTATGGCCAGTTCTGAGTAGGTCAAATCTTCACGTCCTGAACAACGCGGCAGCCACCAGGATACTACTTGATGACAAGCAGTGCGCTTGTGGGGCTGAATTCGTCTTTGACAGTAACCACTATCAGGTCACCGTCACACGCGAGGTTATTCCATCAGCCGGTACTTTCGAGAGTCCCAAGTTGCTGGAGCTGTTAGGTATCGGAGAACCTGAGCATCTCGCCTCCTTGGGGGTCCCGTGCCGGGTTCCCCTTCCAGGTGTTGGGACGAATCTCCAGGAACATCCCGTGTCCGCGGTGGTGTACGAGCTAGCAGACGGAGTACTGTCCATAGACGCAATCCTGCGTGACGAAAGCTTGCTAAAGCAGCACCTGCAACTGCTGCAAGAACAGCATTCGGGGGCGTTTTCCGGCCCGGTCAGTCTGATGGGGTTCATCCCTTACTGGCCCCAGGTCTCGGCTGAGCGGCTCAACGAAACCATCGTCAGCGTGCTGCAGCCTCATAGTGATAATGCCACCGACGATGCCGACTTGGTGACATTCCAGCACCGATAGCGCCAACGCATTGCTGCGCATTTATTGGACCCCCGGTCAGCAGATATCCAGCTGGTGGGTTTCCCGTCAGCACTTGCTATTTACCGGGTTTATGCCGATTGCAGCAAACTTATCCCGGGTCCTCCCCCAGGCCGGAACGCATGCTACTCGCTCATGGTCAGCTCCATGTATCCTGCCTCCCGGGGAAGCTCCCATGCGCAGTCTCGGGACCCGGAGGCTGCACAAAGAGTGGACTTGGGATTCCTGACAAACCCCGCTGATTTAGACGTTCTCGCGACGGTTGTCATGGTTGCGGATAACATCTTCCAATCTCCCCGTATGAAGGGGCAGGTCTTGGCCCGGGTGCAGCCGCCGCCTGAGGTCAACTTGCAGGATGTAGAACAGGCGCGAGAATATGTCCGGGATCGGCTGATGAGCTATCATCATGCGCTCGAACATGTGCTTTGGGTCGGTAGTAGATGAGAAATGAAGTGTCAAGGGCACCCAGGGTCTGCGTGTGGTCGATGCTAGTGTCATGCCAGCCCAAGTCAGTCATGCTGTGCTCGGCACGGTATATGCGGTCGCGGAAAAGGCTGTTGACTTGATTAAAAGCACTCACCTTCATTCAAACGGGTGTAAGTGAGCTTTGTACCCTGTTAGGTGCTATATCCGGATAGAGGACTTGGAAGGATGTTGGTAAATCAATTGGTGAGATAACAACACTGTACGGCTGTGACTCTTGTCCATAACTATGTCTCAGTATGCGCAAGATCTATGAAATTTTGGGCATCGGTACCTGTCTCCAATCGAATCATGTTATAGCTGCGTCCGCTTCTCGGCAGGATGTAGTAGCATGCCCGCCCAAATCAGGACATGTCCTTCCGCCGTTTCCTGGAAAGGCAAGTTGGAATACCCCTGAAAAGGCATTTTAGACACATATGAGCATAACGATAGAGATGGTACTACCTTGGACATAAGCATGCCTTGTCCGATCCCCATATGTTGCCCAATCCAGGCAAGACACTTCAAAGCGTGGTTTTGAATAGGCCGTGGCACTGCCGAGCAAGTAGAGAGTACAAATAAAGGATGTAACAATAATAGGCCTCCCACAGAGCGACCAACGCCTGGAGGACTGTTGAGTGAGAGAATGTCTTGCTGATACGCGTGCAGATTATTGGTAAGGTGATATGGAATAGATGCGACAATATCATAGATTAGGATGTGAGCCTGCTTCTCCCATCTGGTCACGTTATCTGTCCGGATGGTGCCGCCCATTCGAGATGCAAGACGGATTAAGACATCCAATAGCATCAAATATGTCTTTCGATATGTGTTCATGACAGCTGCAACATATATGTCAAAGTAAGCATGTACGGGGCCGCCCCATGCAAAGGGACATGATGAAGCTTCGGCATCCTGCTGGCTCATAAAGCCCACTATATCAGCCTTCCAAGATACATCCTGAGTAGCACCCCATTGCGAGAAGGCAAGTTCGATAGCAAGAGCACGATCAAGGGTTTTTTGTAGTTCGTAAAATGAGGCTAATGGATCCTGTAGCTGCGTGTTTGCATGCTCAAAAAGGGGGTGGCATTTTATCAGGATGGAATCCAAATTGTGCACAGCATGGTTCGACGCGGGCGCACAAAGAACCCCGCGGTTATCTTGAACCTGGCATTAGGTTAGCATAGTGTTATCCGGGGATGTGTTAATAATCCGAACCTGGAGATCACGCTTAATGAGCAAAGGGTTTGCCACTTGAAACAACTGCGTGCTTGAGAGTAGATCAAAAGGAGAATTTGGGCTCAACAGCAAAGCACAGACCCCTCGGACATGGGCAACATGCTTCTGTTGCTCTTGAGTAATCTCATCACTGCTCACAATCTCATAAAGGCCGAGAAGGATAGCAATCACCAATGCTTCCACGGTAGGTGCTCGTAGCTGGCAGCAATGCAGCAAGTCCTGGAAGGAGCATAGTAGACCAGTATACTGCCTTCTTGCCCTGGCTAAAAGATCCGGCCGAGAGATTTTATTGCCCAGGGTTGCCCAAGCGACAATCTCGACGGCCCGGACGAGGTCTGAAGAGGGATGAACGCTGGCGAGGAGCGAGGGTAAACCATCCAGGAACCCGCGGGAGACTCGAGAATCTCTCGAACAGACAACATACTGGTCAAGGAATAGACCAACAGGATCATTCGTGGTCACTATCCTGCTTTGGGGGGGGAAGAGCAATTGGACAGGCTTGTTCGCAGGAACTACATAATGGCGGAAGCGTAATTCGTCATTGCTCCTGTACCCGAGGCAGATTCTCCCCGATTGAAGACAGCGACTACAAGCCTGTCCAACGCAGAGCCTAATGTTAGCCTGGCATCCCTGGGGTCCCCGAAAATGGCCCGTGGTTTCTTACAGGGAGGCCTTCATCACACTATACAACTCTCAATATGATTAGTCTGGCACTGTGTTTTCGCCCACAAAATGGGTATTTTACCTTCTTCCGCCGTTTCCTGCAGGTCTCACAGGCACGAGAAACGCCGTAGTTTACCATATCAAATGTATTATGTTGGGACACATATCTCTCCGTCGCCTAGCTAGTCAAGAGCGGTTTATTGTTTTTAGTCTAGCGGTTAGTGCTTCGACATAACATATCGGTCAGATGGACTAAGAGGACTTCATAAATGAGATTAGTTAAGATTAGATTGGGGTCAGACAAGACGAAATCAGGTGACGTCAGGTGATACGCCATGTAGTAGTATGTATGCCACTGCACTACCCATGAACTGGGGATGAAAATAGCTTCAATACTACGACATCACATTTAAATATCGCATAATGGTGCTTAATTAGAAGTTCTGCCTTTCCCAAGATCCACTTACTGAGCCTTGACACGATCCCAGAACCCGATACCGTTCAACTGCGCTCTTCTCACTGAGTCTGACAGAGAAGAACCTAGCAAGTGGCTCGACAATATCAAATAGGCATAGCTACATCTGCAACTCGAATGCATACCGAAGAAAAGCCTTTTCCGACATTGAGGACCAGTAACCTGACTGAAGACTAGACTTTTGAGGAGTTCATTAATAGGCGTAGATGACCCTGGAACGCCTAAGGCTCAAGAAGAACGACTGACACGTCATTCGATGCCTCAACTGCTGGGCTGGGAAAGAAAGCGCAAGTGGGATGAAGGAGACTGTTGAGGAAGACTTGAAATGACACCGAAGGTACATAGTAATTTCGATCTTGACCTGCCCGCTAGGGTTCCAGCATAATGACCTCAACGAACTGAGCATACTTATGAATGTAGCCAGTGGCACTTGGGTAATTGTTTTATCGCGCTAATCAGTAAATAAAATGTACTATTTATCTGGAGAGTAAATGGAGAGGTATGTCCCAGCATAAATTGTACTTAGCCATACGATCAGTGCCATTTCCATCAAGAATAACACCAGACTGTATCCGAACGCTCACTGTAATCAGACACTCTACCTAATTCTCTTCTGCTGCATAAGCGGCCTGACCTACAGACATCTTGTCGATCTCCCTCCCAGGAGCTGTGATGATTTGAGTCATATATCCATCTGGCACTAAGTACATCGCGTGAGGTAATGGTTATAATCACGTATGTTGCATAATATCATCCCAAGTCTTGATGCAGCCATTGTCAGCAGATGAGAAGGACGAGCAGACGTTTATAAGTTGGCTGTGAATATGCTGCGCTTCCCATGTCTTAGGTATCAAACAAAGTAAGTACTTTATTCTTTCCTCCCCACTGTTCTCTGGGTGACTTTGGTCGGTAACGAACTCTATTGCAGTTTTCCCATTTTTATCTTTCCTGGAGATTAACCAAATCAATGTATAGGCTTCTAGCATCCGAGCTCGACGTATATGCCAGGTGATGTCCCCACCCGGACGGATACCCTCTAGAAAAGGGAAGACCGAATTTACCGACGGCATGGAGAAGGCTGTGGAGATAATCAGGTTCATATTCAATGGACCTACACCTTTTGAAGGAAGAGGCTGCGATTGGACTAACCATCAGGTCGGAACCTCACTCTCAGGATTATTAGTTCCAACAGTTCCTCTTGGAGAGGTTGAATCAGAGCATCCATGATCACTGATTGAGTGGCCCCGATGGTTTCGACAAGATGTTCACGAAGGTCTAGCTTTTCTGCTCTAACCAAACCTTAGCTCAGATCCTGTCAAGGGGTCGCTTTTCTTAACTTACCTTTCAAATACCTGCGATTCGACCATGGTTTGTTCGTACTTTGATATGTTCTTCAGTGGACGCGGTAGACTAAAACTTAGCAAATAAGGCTTGACCGGTGAGAAGGTGTACGAATGGGAAAAGTCATATAGGACTGTGTCAAAGAAATCCATCGGAAGCCTGAAGTGCTCATCTTTAATGTCTCCATGAGTGATCCCAAGGCGATGCAATGTCAGAAGACGTCGAATACGGTCAGTAAAGAGAGAGTCATAGTAATCCACTTCGAAATCACTCAGGGAACCTAGACCGCTGAGCTTGTCCTTGAACTTATCCCCATGACTATGTTCTTTGTCTGCTGCTAGGATTCGTCGTGATGACAGCTTCGGCCTGATACATTCTAGGGCAATGGCGCGATGTTTAGCATAGGGACTGCTAAGGTACTTTTCGAGATCGGTAATGACTCCATGAAACTCGGGGAAGTAAATTCTTTGGGAGCTTGTGCATGAGGCGTCAATGCGATGAAACACTCGGAGTTCGGTTGGAAACCAATCGAGTTCATCCCTAACCTCCTTGACCGTTTTCGGGATACGGGAGGGCAGGCGTTTAAGCTGCATTTCTGCATCACGTTCAGTGTACTCTGGAAACTTCGGTTGATTTAATATCAGTCTTTCTGTTGAAAATTTCCCATCCATGATGTACTTACAATCTTAGCCACATGCTGGCGGTAGTATATCCCTCCATGTCGGACATAAAGCCACTTAACCTGTATCCTTCCAAACTCAGAGTAACGTCCGGTATCTGCTGATCTCCCCAGCATCCATTTCTTCTGTGGGTCGAAAAGTCTGAAATCGGTCTTATCTTCACGGCCTTCATTGATCCAATCTGGTAGGGGCCATTCGGAGAAGAATGTGTCTGTCCACGACTGACCATGGGTATTGCTCATCATTGACTAAGGAACGGGTGAGCTGGCTTTAGAATCACCTTCCAAGTGCAGCAAGCCAAACCTTTAGATTGTGATATTGTCACTTGAGCGAAGGTCGCGTAAAGATTTCAGGGTAAGTCTTCGAACATTTAAAATAGGATTACAAGAATGATACATTGGAGTACAAGATACTACATGGAGTACGAATGAACTTTTTATATCTAAGATATAAGCATTCTACTGCCAAGAATATGGTTTCATATGGCAGAAGGGTGCCTGCAGCTGCCTATATCATTAGGCAACAGTTTGACCCCTTGCATAGCTTACCAAAAACATACATGCTTAGAAGACAATATTAAAATTATACAACATGATAATTCTATGATTTATTAGGTGAGGAGTCAAGGAACCGCATAACTGCAATGAAAATGAGAGAAGAATTATGCTTCATTCACTGGCTGCACCACCCCCGTAAGGCCGTATGTGTACTTAGTTTCTATAACCTCTGTGGCTTCCTAACTCGTGTGTCTGTCAATGTAGATGCCCCAAGACCCGAGTAAGTTGAGATATCTGCCGCGCAGACTTTGCAGAGGCAACTGCAGAGGATGCCTCGTTGCTAGGATTTAGCTAGCCCAATATGACCAAAAGCCTCAAGGATAATAGTAATAAACACTGCACTTGCAATCCACCAAGTGAATATGAGACGGCAAGACGCCAGTGTTATGACTAAGATCTGCAGATTTTTCTTTCTCTGCTAAACACAGACAACCCAAGGGCAGATTACAATTCACATAAACTCTGGGAGTGTTCAATTGCCGCACCCTTGCCATTTCTATGTATCATGTTTCCCGTTGGGACATATCTCTCCGTCGGCTCATAAGATAGATATATCGTTTTTGGTCTAGCGGTCAGCGCGTCGACATTTCCCCTTTCTTCCCACCAAAACTATCAACTTCCTTCCAACATTGTGTTGCTGCAGTCTAATCTCGTCAGTGACCTCCCAGCATCTTGTTGATCAACATTTTCATATCGTCCTCAACGACTTCCAACATACATCGATCTCGAGTCGTCTGGAGGGCAGGAATGGACGCTACCGGGATACGACAAGTAAGAAGCTACCAAAAACACTCTAGTTGCAAGATAAGTCTTAGTAAGAGCCTCTTAACGGCTCCTCGTGAGCTTCCTAGGGGCATCGACTTTGGGTCATCTGGGGCGCAGAATAGATCCCCACCACCAACGAATGCTATCATACGTTGAATCCACAAACCATATATCAACCACTACGTTGAATACGGTTCCTGCCTGCATCACTGTAGGATTATTATGGAATGGTGGTTCTGTTATGAAAAAAGCCAAGTACATGAAGATCTACGCTTCTATATGGAAAGTAAGAAGCTCCATGGAAAATACCCTATTGGGAAAACCACTAGCATCTTCTAACTCTTCATCCAATAGAGGCACTCCCAGCACACCGGTTCGGCTCCTACATATACCACAACCAGCAAGGGTGCGTGGAGATTGTTGCGGAAAAGCTCTCAAGCACTGCATCTATTCATGATGAAACTAAGAACCTGCGCGCTGAAAACAGCTTTGGGCGTCCCAAGAATCTTACAGTCTAAGTACTGTCATTAGAGAAAGTCGTGGAGATCTTCCTTCTCCCTTTCTCTGGTTGATCCTGGCCGCGACCTTTGGTGGACTGGGGCCTACAGGCTTTGTCAAACTAGCCAAACTTCTTCAAAGGCTTTCGACAAGTCGAAGTGAAGAGGTAGACTAGAGCCTCGGAGGCTCTAGTACGTCAGCCAAGCTCTTAAAAGACCTCATAGGGGCCATGCAGTACTGGGGGCTTTCTGATCGAACCCGCCAACCTTGCGATACTACGAAGTAAAAGAGAAGGAAAGAGACAAGTGTTTTCAAAAACCCCGAAAGGTGAGGGTGGTAGACTGGCTAGACCTATTCAACCACCCTTCCATACGGGCAAGATTGACGGGTTCAATCAGAAAGCCCCCAGTGCCCCGATTGTCGCAAGGCCCCTATGAAAAGAATGGTCGACGTACCGCCTTTCTTTCAAGACAATGCTGACAGGTTGGAAGCTCCCTTCATGTGGGCAATGCCATCTACCTATGAGGCCAGCTGCCTCAGGTTTCAGCTGCAAAGGACATCATTCTCAGTATCATTGCAAAGAGCAGTTATTCGAGCAAGGAGGTGGTATGGAAGAGGATCAAGGCACATTCAGTCAGTAAGGAAGCTGCTGTGGAGGCGAAGGAGAGATATTTTCTTGGAACAGCGTTTCTGCCAAGTAGGCCAAAACGATATATCGTTGGCTATTCGGAGCAGACGGGGCGACAAATGTCTCGACATATGTAGACAGGCTTCAGGCGCTGCAAAAGCCATCGGATTCATCTTTCATTTCTTCATACTTGCTTCGCATGAAAGAAGAGATGGTGAGAGATATATGCAACAGGATGACTCGTTGCATGACTAGAAGATGTATCTAGGTAGTTCACCAGAATAGTGTATGGGTACTTCAAGATAGAAAGTTTGTGATGCGCTGCAATAAAACATGTAGTGAGAGGCTTATATGATTTATCAGGCGTGGAGTCCAGAATCCAGCAGTAGTGAAATAAAGCACGAGGCTCTTGCTTCATCTACCGGCGTAGTCTTGTTAAACGTTTGCCGAACTAATGGCTTTAATTTGATCATACATCAATTCTAATGCAGTGTATTAACTCATTAATGGTATTCGCTTTCATTAAGCTCAAGGCCAATCACCGATCGTTTTCCGCCCGCGACTCCTCAGCCATGCCAATCTTCGCTCGTTTCGAGAGATCGGCTTGTAACGCCTTATCAATGATTGCATTGATCTCCTTGACCTTCTCGAGGGCAACTGAAGTTTTATCCACAAAGACCATCGCGTCCACCGGCGATCCGGAGAACTTGGAGACGAAGCACACATCACCCGCGTTGTTGATGCCAATCACGACGTCAGCTTCCGCTGCTTGCTCCTCCTTCCGAGTTGCATCAATGATGACCCGCTTTCCTTCATCGAATGTGTGGAAAGTAACAGACAGCGGCTTATGTGTAATGTTCAATGCGACAGGAACTCGTTCATCGAGTCCGTACACAATCACCTGGCCATCCTTGACTACAGCGTCTTGACGGCGGAAATGCTGCAAACCAGCCATGATACCAATACAAGCCGCATCAATCAGATTGCCATCGTAATCGGTAACGTGGACGTCCGCGCGGATGCTCCAGCAGCTGACACCCTTGAGGATACAGAGGGACTCGGTGTCCAGGGCGTTGGAATGGCGAACGACACGGTCGAGGACATTGGTGACATATGTTTCAAAGTCTCCTTGTCTGAAACAGAAATGGTCAGCTGAGTTATTGCTCGGTCGCGGCTTGATGAGAATATCCATACCGGCCATTGTCCCAAGCGGGGGAGCCCATGGCAGTCAGCTCCATGGCGATTGTGAAAAGACCGTCGAACGGACGATCATCGTGAGGTTTTGTGACTTCAGCTGAGATACGGACAATGAGGCTGCAGCAGAAAAGAACAGTTAGTGTTGTTGAAGCAAGCTGAACGATGAGTCTACCTACCTGGTTTTGCCGAGCTGCACCTTCACATGTCCATACTCCTCCCCGAACGACACATTCAGCGGACGTAGCTGGTCGAAACCGCGACCGTCCAGTCGTACATCCTCGCGCAGCGCATTGAGGATGAAGTCGCGCTCAGTGACGGAGAGCAATGCTTCTTTGTTCATGATTGCGGAGGCGGATTTGGCCCCGGCGGGGGTCACGGCGGACTTTCTGGGAAATTTCCTGCATGCCACATCGTCATCGAGGCGGCGGGCCAATGTTGTTCCTCGTGGAGCCAATGGGAGAGACTGTTGGCAGGCGGTGAAGTGGCTGACTCATCTTGTGGCCTGAGGTTGCAATCGGCGATCATTATCAGATCTCATCCTCGTCGGAGTGTCAACTACCAAACAACACAGAGTCTAACAACCGCCACCATGACTACGGGTATGTATCTATATTGATTGAATCTGAGAAGCTTCGTACTGACTACTTTATAGCTCACAGGCCCACGTTCGATCCCGTATGTACCCCCGACCATCTGCTCAGCGCATGAAGCTCATTGAAACAGGCACAAGGAAAGGAGGCCCTCCGCGGCCCTGCGTACCACCAGCGTCTTCTCCCGGCTTATACGCACCTGAAGACACGGTAAGTGGTATGACAATATGTCTGCGACAATTTCTGACATTTCCAAGTCAATTCGGTCAGGGTAGTGAAGTCGAAACTCAGCAACGCGATCTGCGCGCCGAGCTGCTCCAGGCGGAGGCTGCTCATTTCGCCAAGAAGAACGGAGTTCCCGTGGACGAGCCTAAAATCGAGACCGCCACACCCAAGCGCCAGTTGGAAGGTGGTTCACCCGGTGGTGATGCAGGGACAGAGGAAGAAGATCCAGAAGCCAAACGACGACGAATACTAGAGGAGACTCGAGATATAGATGCAGATTCTGACGAGTCGGAAGAGGATAGCAGTGAGGATGAAAGGTCAGATTCCGCGGATACATACGTGCGATAGTGCTGACAGGTTACAGTGACGATGAAGAGGACGAGGCTGCTGAATTGATGCGCGAGCTGGAGAAGATCAAGAAAGAGAGACTCGAGCAGAAAGAGAAAGAGGTTCGTGCAGCAGATTTGGACTTTGGATGAGTTACTGATAGCTGTCAGGAACGCGAACGTGCTGCGCAAGAAGAGGAGCAGCGCGAGGTCGATATCGCTCGAGGAAACCCGCTGCTTAATCCTCAAGACTTCAATGTGAAGCGGAGATGGGACGACGATGTTGTGTTCAAAAACCAGGCCCGTGGTACAGAAGACAAGAGGGGCAAAGAGTTTGTTAACGTAAGTGCCTGCTTTTTTATTATCTATTATGCTATGATACTAATCTTGCATGCAGGATCTGTTGCGATCGGACTTCCACAAGAGATTCATGGTGAGTTGGTACTGTTGCAATAGTAAAAGAATCTACTAACTTGAGCAGTCAAAATACGTCCGCTAAACTCGTGTCCGACAAACGTACCCACTCCTTACAGCAGTCACTGTGATGACTGTTTGTCCTACCCTAGAGTCGTCAATCGGTCCCCAACTCATACCAGATACAGCATCGTGGTGGATTCGACTTCCAGATCAGCATGCGAATAGAGAAGCAGTACAAGCCAGTATATGCTTCCTACTACAGCACAGAGAAGAACGCTCGACAACACAAACGAGAGTGAATGGGTGATTTAACACATGGCGCTTTATATTTCTCTTCATAGTGTATACCCACATCATCAATCAAACCAATATATTCATATAGCCCAATTTAGTTTAGTACTCCGAACACTAAGTAGTCTCCTATCATATCAACCTGATAGACAAAGTACTGCCGGCAGTACTCACACCGCTCGCAATCTACTTGCACCGCAGCATCACAGTATCCTATCCTATCTTTTCCCACAAACAGAAACCAATTGCTGTACCAGCTTAAGTTCAAAATGGATTCTCAACCGTCATCGAAAGCGCTTCATTGTAAGCCGTACCCTGCATTTTTCACTTACCTCAGTTCCAAACCCCTCCATTGCACCGCTAACAACCATCCGTCGCAGATCGCATCAACACCAACATCTCACAATTACTCCAACGCTTCGAGAACATCATGGCAACAGCGACTGTTAGCTCACCTCACCCTCTTGCAATATATCCAAACGAACAACCACTAACCCAGAAATCCAGACCGAAAGTACCAGCCACACCTCCACGGCCGTCGAGACATACCAGCTAGACGTGGAATCCACAGCGTTGGTACGTTCCAACTAATGCTCCTCTATTCCAACACAAATCCTACAATGTCAGGGAACACTTGCTTACAGAATTGAATCTGAGATAGGTCCGCGCAGCAGAAGACATCCTCGCCCTGACCCGGACAATGAAAGAAACCTGGTTATTCGGGAAACTCGACACACTAGGCGAAGACGAAGCGGACGTGAAACGTCGCGAGGAACTAGAGATGAATGCGGAGGCGATTTAAAAGGCCATTGAAGATGGGGGGTTTTTGAAGGCTGCTAAGTGAGGATCAGCTTTGAGGTGTATACTGTGGGTGCATGGCGTATAGTGGGTTGGTTTATCTATTGCAGGGAGTTGGCGGGTTGGCGTTCGGGTATGCTTCTAGAAAGTGGTACTTCTGAATTCTGATGTTGATGTAAATAGTAGTTATGTATATATATAAAATTATATTATAGAATGCCCTCTAACTACAGTTGAACCGATCAATATCTGGTAGATAGTTCGTGTGTAGTTCTGGAAAGGGAAAAAAGCACGTGGTTCCAACCCCAGCGGGGGATTATCGTGAGATCGCGAACCGTCTGATAAAAGCTTCCCTTCCATCAACTTATCAAAAACTCCCCCCCACCGCGTGCACTCCCTCCTCCTCTACCATTCAAACCCACCAAAAAATCTCACACATCACCTACCTATCAACCAACCTACCAACCAACACACCACCACACCTTCAATTCCAAATAACCAACAAAGATGCCCCCATCACGCCCCATAACCCTCATCGTCGCAACGACCCCCATCCCCACCGAAAGCAGCTCAATCCGCCTCGGCATCGGCCACTCCGGGACTCTCCCCTGGCCACGAATCAAAACCGACATGTCGTTCTTCGCGCGTGTCACCTCCCGGGCACCTACCCCGGGCACCACCAACGCCATCATAATGGGTCGGAAGACGTACGACTCTGTGCCTGCGCATCTCCGCCCGCTGGCCAAGCGCATCAGTACTATTATAACACGGGATGTGGATTCTCTAACGGAGAGGGTTGGGAGAGAAGCTGAGATTAGGCGGGAGAAGATTGCTGCTGCTGCATCTACATCTGCTGGTGGTAATGGGGGGAATGCTGAGCAACCCGCAACGGATGCGATTGTGTGCGGGGGATTACATGATGCGCTGCAGCAGCTGGAGACGAGGTATGGAGAGGAAGGGAAGCTGGGGAAGGTGTTTGTGATTGGGGGGGCGGAGATATATGGGGCTGTTTTGGCTGCGGGAAAGGATGTTTGGGGAGGGCCAGTGAGAATTGTGATGACGAATGTGGAGAAGAAGGGGTATGCGGAGGGGAATAAGGGGGAGGTGTTTGAGTGTGATACGTTATTCCCCGTGGATGAGGAGTTGTTTGGGGAGAAGGAGGGGTGGAGGAAGGTTAGTGCGGAGGAGGTTACGGAGTGGGTTGGGGAGGTGGTTACTGGGGAGTGGATTGAGGAGGGGGATGTTAGGGTGCAGATGGTGGGTTATGAACGTCAATAGAATATTGAGTATAACGGAATTGAGTGGTAGAGTAGAGGCTATGTGCGCGGGCGTACGCCGGTGTCTATCACGGTACAGTTGATATGGTTATGGCAAGGTAGTCTATGTATACGGCAGATATGTACAGTCTAGATAACAACTAGCCGCCCTAATAATGCTGGTACAATCACATGCTCTCGCTGAAATAACGAATCAAAACCAAAATCAAAGGCAAACCAACTCCTTGCTAATATACAAGCACATGGAGTATGCACATTGCTGGATGCAGCTGTCCAATCGAAAGATACTTGGCAATAATCGCTGAACGATGTCGTAGTGAAACACTGCAACGCTGAACGCTGAACGCAGATCGATCATATCACTCATTCTCTTTCATATACTTCACAAAGGCTTTCTTATGTACTAAGCCGGCATATTGGCCATCATGCGACACGCACAGATAGCGCAGTCCAAGCTTGGCAAAGCATTGATACACGAGGTCGATAGGTGAATGGATGTCGAGGGCAAGAGGGGACTGCAGACGTCAGACTTGTAAACGTCAAAGGATGGAGCTACATACCGGATCAATGTATTGACCGAAGTCGACGCGGCCGGTTTCGGCTTCATCTTCGCTGTCAGAAACAGCCGAAGAGCCATCCAGACTCATCAAGCAGAGGGTGTTCTCCTCGTCCGCCAGGTTGTCCAGCGCGTACTCCAGCTCAGGTGCCGGGATTAAACCGGTGAGGACACCATGACGCAGGATCGGAAGACCTCCGTCCAGTTCGCCCGCCATCAACAAGTTCTGAAGTTTCGAACGTAGCTCTCGTGCCGGCACAAAGGACGAGCCTGAAATGTCAATGATACGACTGGAGCGAACCGGCCGAACGAGATCCCCAAGCTGCGCATCCGAGGTCGGCTGATGTTTACTGTCAAGGAACGGGTAGGAATTCATATCGGTCAACATATCCTGCCCCAAGTTAGCCGCCACATCTTCACACAAAAAAAGTATTGTGCAGTACTTACGTAGATGCTGCGAGGTTCGATAGCATCAGCAGTCCACTTGGCACACAAGACAGCCACGGAAAAGGGCAACACATGGTCCAAACTTCCCGTGAGCTCAAAGAGAATGACGGCCAGTGTAACAGACAGACGTGTCACTCCACACATAGTTGCACCTGCTGCGACCATAGCGTAGACCCCTGGCGTCACGCAGGATTCCATGCCGGCGGTAGCGGGACAAGACGATCCAAACAGAAAGGAGGTGGGATACTTCAGCACCAAGTACTGTGCTGCATGTCCAACAATGCGGCCCAGAAGACCACCAACAACCATGGAAGGAACGTAGATACCACACGGCACCTTGATTCCGAACGTAACCACCGTTAGGAGACTCTTGATGACAAACGCCACGAGCAGATAACGAATAATCTCCCCGATCCCCTCCTCCGGCGGACACAGACCAGTCGGTGACGAGGACTCGTGATCACAAGGGCTGGCCAACTCAAACATAAGCTCGGAGACGGGGAGCTTGGTGTAACGATTCCAAAAGCTAACTAATCCGGTCAAAACAGCAACGAGCACGACCTCAATCATTGGCCAACGCTTGATAAACCAGATTCTCCGGAATGATCGCGCCCAGAGGTTCGAGGCTTTGATAAACAGAGCACCCAGCGCTCCACCGAGCACGCCTAGGAGGATAAAGATCGCCATCTCAAACATCTCCCAGTCGCCCAGATAGCGGACCTGGAACAAGACAATCTTGCCCGTGCCGTAAGGATTCAGGAATTTCAGGGAGAGTGCTGCTGCGATGCAGCAGAAGAACGTTCTGAATAGAGTCTTCGGAGGGAAATAATAGCTGACTTCCTCTAAACTGAACAGGACGCCACCGATGGGGGCACCGAATGCTACGGCCACACCACCTGCAGCACTTGCGCTCAAAACCTCACGTCTCTTGCCATCGTTGTGGTTATACTTGGCAAAGATGCGACAGCAGATATTGCCCACGCATGTCGCGATGTGCACATAAGGTCCTTCTTTGCCCAAGCTGAGGCCTGACGAAACGCTAAAAACCAGCGCAAGGGTTTTGATCAACAGAGTCTTGAAGCCAAGGTATCCATGCAGAACGAAGCCACTGTTGATGACCTTGACCTCAGCCACTCCACTACCTGCCGCAGGATAGTAGACCATGGCAGGACGCGTGGGGATGGCGGAACTAAGCGCTTGCTGGCTGGAAGCAGATCCAGGTGAATTACTATTTGCATTGTTTCCTTTCGTACTTCGCGACGACGCCGCCCCAAGGTTTTCATCCAAAGTTGTCAGCGACACCGAGGATGGAACCACCGTCTTCGTGAACAGCGTCAGAAAGCACGAGATGACAGAAAGAAGCACCACCCAGAAGATGAACATGCTGTAGTTAACCCAGTAATTGTCCGGTCCTGACGGATTGTAGATCTGGGACCAGGACCGCCACGCCGGGCAATTTGAGCCCCCTGTACAGCAGCTCTGACGGCTGTGGAACCAGTGCGTAGTACAAAAGCCTTCCTTCACGTCAAAGATGAATTCCTCAGTCACATCTACTGAATAAGCTATTGCGGCCGTGATACAGCCAATCAATGCGACCAGGACCCAGCCCTGGGAGCCATCGAGCCATGCCAGCAGACGCCCGCGGATATCCTTGCGCTTGCGCAGTTCCCGAAGACGAGCGCCGTCTATGATACTGTCATGGACCCAGTCAGTGGAGGTGAACTGGTCATACCAGCTCCGCTCGTCCATGAAAGAAGCTGTCATGCCATCTTTGACGGAAGCAGCCAGGCTTTCCGCTTGCTCCGCATCGATACTGCCGCGTCGACTAAATCGGATCGCCTGAGAGTTGGCGCGGCTATGGTGTCGCGACCGGCGAATGCTTCCCGTCATTAGGGTGTGTCTAAAATTGTTGAAATCAGACCCGGTATTTCCAGAAAGATTCGTATATGAACGTCGCGGCATACCCCGCCGGGTTTCGTTGGTCTTCGGTAGAAGACTTGTGGTTTCGCCGACTTCCATACTCGGTTCCGAAGGTTCATGGGGAGTTTGGACTTCCGAGAGAAGGCTATGAGTTCGTCTAACGGCAGATGGCGAGGGGGGAGCTGTTCGCGAGGCAGTCCTGCGGCCGTCCGACCCGCCGGAGGGAAGCTCGGCTTCCGGGAGAGCGCCTTGCAGATTGGGAGGGATTGAACGAGGCATTTTTGGGAAACTAGTGAAGCAAGAGCTGCTTCGGACTTAATATATGCGGCCTGAGATAATCAAGTCAGCCCAGGCAGTCCGGGGTCTGCCAGATGCAAACCAGCAGCAGCAGGGACGGGAAAGATAAGAACTACCCTCAGCAGCGGACATATCCAACAACATTTAAGCCCGAGAAGAGGCCGAGAAATCGAACAGTGGGGACTGCGACTAGTTCGGTGGTTCTCCAGCGCGCGAGGTAGATGGCGGTGAAGTTGCCGAAGTGAAGAAAGACGGGAGAGACAAACAAACACGGCAGTCGCAGGTTAGGGGGGTTGGGGAGGGAAGAAGGGAAGGGAAAACGAAAGTGAGGCTGTAGAGGAAGCACACAATGAGTTTAAGAAAGGAAGAGCAATACAGAGCTTAGCGAGAAGTGAAAGAAGATGACACAATTAAGAGGGGCAATAATAGCTAACTAATAATGATAATAACAATAATAATCATACCTCAAAAAGGAGGTTCAGTAGGAGGGAAAAATGCAGGAGGCAGCGATGGGCACGACATCCGAGGTGGTCATGGCCACCAGCAGATAAACGGGGCTAAAGGCGCATCATCTGACGATCGGAGTCCGGGTGGTCCCTTGACATGGTTGGTCACCACGCCTATCATTCCCCATCCTCCCAAGTGGTATGGTTTCCATGTTTCTCCTTTGAAACCTTGTTGCTTTTTCTTCTCTCCCCCCCTCCCTCTGGAGACTTCCCTGCTATGTAGCAGCAGATGATGAAGGGAAGGGAGGGGGAAGACAGCATGACAAACGGTTAGATAAATAAAGAATCCTGGGGGACCCGATCCATGGCACGTGCATAGTCACGATAATGGCGGCCGTGTAACATGCCAATGAAGCCATTCATTCCCCACTCTCGCCTAATTATTTATTTCCAAGCTTACTTAGTGGCTGCACCCCGGATGTCCGCCGCTCTTAACTGCTTGTCCAATATACTCCTGGGATGCGAGGCATGACCCCTCCATGAGGCACCCCTTCGGACGGCTGAACCCGGTTTAGGAATGAGGCGTGAGCTGGCCTTGACATCCGATCGACGGGGAGAGGAGGGGGGCGCAAACTGCACTACTTTAATTCTACGGGCGCCTGGTTACTGCAATTGGTTAGATGATCTCCGTGTCAAAAGATCAACACAATAGTTGAGGCGACATTAACTGTGTCTGTGTCCCAAGATAGGAGCTATAAACGACATTCTTATCATGGCCGCATTGCACTGTAGTAATGGTGCAGCAGGCTTGACTTTTCGAGCGTAGATGTATACAGACCACCTCCACCGATGCTGTCACATCGTCTATACTTACCACTGTCACTCACAAAAGAAATGAGGGCCATTTATCAATCACAGCAGCCGCTCAAAGGGCCTTTCTGGTCTGAAATAGATGATTTGTTTTGCCGCTTCCCCGCATGATAAAGCAATATCGAACTCTACCAGTTACACTGTACCTCTTTACTCGGTAGATGCAGGCTACCATGGCTCCACTCCCGTGCATGCATGGCAATGTATACTTTGCCACTCTGCACAGCTACTAGATCTGACAACCGTACTTTAGACTTTTGTTGAGTATTGGCAGATGGAAGGTGAGAAGTAGCTTTACTAACTATACATACTTTATTATCAAAAAGAACGCGAAGACACTTGATGTTAAAGTTAACCACAATGAATCAAGTCTTGAGCCTGACAGACACGTTGTGCCATACCCCAACTGCCACCGATCTTCAACCCACCATCTCCAAGACAAAGATGGCTTCAGTATCCGGTCGGACAGCGATAATCAATCATCTGCGGAGACTAGTATTATCAAAACCACCAATGGAAGCATACTCCAACCCCAAATACAGTTCAACACCCAACGCGCATGACGTATCCGCCACAATAGACCTTTTCAGATCTACATTCACAAGAGTACGTGGGAGTCCGATCACCAAATCCCGATCGCATGG